CTTAGAATAAATCTTTCTTAACAATAAAGCTCAACCAGTTTTAACACAATGGACATTGTAATATATATAAAAATGAGTATCTGACCCATTTTATTGAGTATTAAGAGGCTAACAATGAGTATCACGATCTCTGCTTCATATCTTCTAATTCTTTTTCTTTTTCTTATTTTTTCTTGTATAAAAACTTATTAAATTATATCTATAATTCACCCTATTAATTTCAATATGCGAGACTAATGTAATATGATACTTTTGAAATATGCATTGACATGACATTTTAAAAATGAGCATAACATCAGTATCAAATGAGCATACATAACTTATAAATTGCACATTGATATGAAAATTGTACGGTTTGTTAGTTGAATATCACAACATTTTATTTGAGCATCAAACCTCCGCTATTGATATGAAAATCGTGGTTTCTGTTAAATGGGTATTATTTAAATTTTAATGTGCATCAGACTTATTGTGAGCAATAAAACACTTTTAATGAGCATTCGACTTATTTTGTTGAGTATTAGAAACCTAACCATTGTGACCTCTGCTCTCATGCATATAATATAACTCTTATGTGAATCTAATATGATACTTTTGAAATGTGAATTAGTATGACATTTTAAAATGAACATAAAATCAATATCAAATGAACATATGTAACTTAGAGAATGAGTATCGAAAAATTCAAAAGCTTGTTTGAATTCTTTAATGTGTTCAAATATTCATTTGTGCATATATAATGACAAATATAGTAATCTATATTAAAATAATTTATAGTCTTTCGTTCTCGAATTACAAATAGAATCGAGTTCTTTTTATAATGTTTTACTCATTTTACAAAACTCATGTTAGTGATTAACACACAATATTTAATAAACTACATTGTAATAAATATTCATCTTAAATTAAAAATAGGAAAATAAATTTTACCTAGTACGGAGTAATATCTAAAATACTACGTATTTTATAATACATATATAAAAAACTTAAGTTGGAAGTTTGATTGGAGAAAGAAAATATTTAATTGAATATAACATTAAACTATTAAAGTAGAAGGTTGCTAAAAAACAAAAACAAAACAAAAATGAAAGGAGAACAAACAATATAAAAATAAAATAAAAGGAGGAATACAAACAAAGAAAGCAGAAACGAATTGAACAATTCAATAGCAACTGGACCAGCCTACTCACGATCAGCGGATTCAGAGCAGGAGAAGTAATACGTGGAGTACTGATGCGGCCGGAAAATACAAGTGAGAACTACAGCCCTGCAAATTAGAAACAATTACAAAAATACCCGGATGTACAAGTGAGAACTGTACATCCGGGTGTACGGTATAATTTGCGAATTCATTCTTACTTTATTCTCACTTTATCAATTCACTATCAATCATATAATTTTGTTTTTCTTAGAAACCGTATCTCTCCTTTAATTTGTCCCAATCTTAGCTAGGAGGACGGATCCGCGATAGAAACATATAAGTCATTATATTTATAACACATACAATATAAATATACCCGCGTGTTTTGTATCATGTCAATTTTTAGAGTCCGTTCGGTAATACCAAATTCGATTGAATCGGCTGATTCAGCTGAAACTTATGGAGCTGAAGTGGTTGGATTGGACGATTTTGTTGATTCATGTAAATATTATATTTAAAATATATTTTATTAATAGAATAAAGAACAAATTATATGGAAATAGCTAAAATGATCATCTACAGTAACTTCAGTCAATACAACCAAAAAAGAACGTAACCTTAAACCTTATTTTTTCTTATTATTACAAAATTCAGTGCGCAAAAAGAAAAGTTACGTAATACATGAAAAACTTGGTTGATAAGTCTAATATGTCGAGACATGCTCACCAAACGAGCTTTTAAGCATTTTCGTGTTCGGTATTATGTAGGAATTTTTTTTGTACATATCTTTTGTTTGCATTTTGTACATACCTTTTATTCTATCCAGTGGCGTATCCAGAAAATCTGTTCAGTGGGGGCAAGTTTGCACTAACATTATCACAATTTTTTAGGAAATAAATATTAATTAAAAAAATTGACAATTTATTAAAAATAAAGACTATTTTTTATAAGAAACAGATAAATTATGTAATTATAAGTTTATAACTGATTTAGGTTACAAATAAACAAGTGTGTTTTAATATTAAGTGAGATGCGATTTAAATTACATACCATTTATTAGTTACGTTAAAAAATTATTTTAAACTAATTTGGATCTTAGATTTAGATAATATATACTTTATTAAATACAAAATAAAAAATATACAAGAAATGGATGAAATATGTAATTTATAAGTGATTTGAGTTACAAATAAATAACTTTTAATATTAACTATGCAAAGATGTTGACCAATTTTTAATGTTTCATTGCCTAGTGGATTGCTTCAGGCCATACAATGTCTTCCTAAGCAAACAGACATGCTCACTTCTCTTGGGATCCACAAAGCCCTCGGGCTAGGTCATATAAATTGTTTTATCCAACTCACCGAGCAAAAATGCAGTAGTTACATCCATTTGTTTCATTTCCCAGTCATGGTGAGCAACTAAAGAAAGCATCATACGAATAGTGGTAAATTTAGGGGGTGTTTGGAACTAATTCTTCTTCTACTTCTTTTTTAAAGCGGGAGCAGAATCAGAATCAGTTTTCAGAATCTGGTCCCCTCCAGCTTCTAAAAAACTTATTCTATGAGTAAATTAAATTAGAGCACCAGAATCACTTCTACACTTTCATCCACACACCACGACTTCTGCTTCTGCTCCCTGAAGAAGCAGAAGCAGTTTTAAGAATCAGATCCAAACACCCCCTTAACAACAGGAGCAAAGATTTCTGCATAATCTACCTCCTCTTTTTGAGTAAACCCTTTCGCAAACAACCTAGCCTTAAATCTAACATCACTAGGTTCTTCCTTAACCTTAAGCAACCACTTACACTCAACTACCGAACAGTTGGGGGTCTAGATACAAGGGTCCAAGTTTGGTTCACTCTCAAAGAGTCCATCTGCTAAGGACCACCTTAAAGCCTACATGGTTCCTATCCCATAACTTGTAACCCTTTACCCAGATGGATAACCTAGAAAGACACATTTCTTAGACCTAGGATCCAACTTGTCAACCTGTTGATGTGCATATGCAGCACAACCAAACACCCGAAGGTTAGACAAGTCAAGAGGCATACTGGTAAAGACGGTTTCAGGACACTTACCACCAAGAGGGATAGACGGGAACCTATTAACCAAATAGGCAGCAGTGGTAACTGCTTCACCCCAGAATTTCTTAGGCAAACCAGAGGTAGTTAACATGCTTCTAACCTTATCCAACACAATAAATAGTTTGCTATGTGTTTAAAATAAATTTCAAAGGGGGCATTGTGTGTAACATATTTTATTTTAAGACTTCCTACTTTGAAATATAGGGGTGGGATCACATACAAACTAGTCCTCCCATGCTAACCTACAACTTGTCACAAACCGTGCACCTTTACATTATTTGTATTCCATATTGATGCTCAAAGTGTTGCATATTATTTGTATTGCATATTGAAGTACAAAGTGTTGCATATTATTTGTATTGCATATTGAAGTTCACAGTGTGCATTTTTACATTATTTGTATTGCATATTGAAGTTCAACGTGCTGCATATTATTGAGTTTGTAGATTAGTATTTTAAGCATGGTTTGTATTTGATCTTATATATATATATATATATATATATATATATATATATATATATATATATATATATATATATATATATATATATATATATATATAGAATTTTATTCATGTCCGGAATTCCGGACAGGAACCGCCGTCCGGACGGTGGCGTTTGGCCGCCTTCCCGGTGACATTTTTTGATGAAATTTTTATGGCATGTTCTCCATCAAGTCTAGTGTATCCACAAAAAAATTCAGCCAAAAACTCAATCGAGAAGGTCGTCAAATGAGTTTTGCAAGTTAACTGGTCCGGAATATGCCTTGTCAAAAATAATTATCATGTTGTATTTCTGGAAGGTATTATGTACCTTAATTCGATGGATTGAAATACATGGAACTCTTCAAACCTCAAGTAACTTCTGATGGAAAAGAAATATGCCTTGTGAAAAATAACTTATAATGACTCCAACTTATTAATGGTTGAATAGAAGAACGAGAAAGTAAAAGAAAGGTAGAACTCGTGTCGATAACATGTTGTATGAAAAAGATCGTTTAATTTCAGTACTAAATGAATGCCATATAAGTGATATAACCCTCTAAATAGCAAGAGATTGAAGTTTACAAAGATGGATCAACTGACATACTCCGTAATTGATTTGTTTGATAGCACATCATACGAAAGTTTCTTCCACATGAGACCCTTTTTTCATCCAATGTTTCCTTATGCAGAGGACGGTACAAATCTAAATTATTACAGTTCTTATTTACTTCATCATTATTATTACTAGCAGCTTGCTCTGAAATAGGATACGTTCATGAGGTTCATCCAGTATCACAGGTATACTGGATGAACATTTTAACCTATACAAAAGCATTGGTAAAGTCAAATACTATTAAAAATTGCAGCCTGGAACAGATTCTCTGGTCCTTAAGTATTGGCCAATGTATAAAAGGGTAAGGGTCGGATTGTAACCTTCACAAAGGCCAAAGCATTGGCCAATGTATTAATGTCTAATATACAAAGAACAGATTCATCAATAAAGCATTAAAAGGATATTCTGTAACATGCTCTACAAGTTACAAATGCATCCCAAACTTTTAAGAAATTGCAAACGAGTTGAAAACTTTGTCAATCCAAATTACAAAATAGGATCTTTCTGCTGCAAGAAGAGAAATGTTCCAAAGATCGAAGGAGTTGTTGTAGCCTATAATTTGACAAAAAATCGATGTTATGTCTGGCAGCAAAATCCTACTAGCTTGAAGAATTGAATTTCGGAATATCTAGGGTTGCAAATCTGGAATCAAACAGCTCTTTGAGAATTTGAGAGGCTATATCTAACAGGTTTACATTCCACTCTGAAATCAATACACAAATCTGTGAAGAAACATAAAACTGATTTGGGCGCAATGACATAGAAAAGGTAAGAGTTCATTTGATTCACAGGCGCAAAAGCATTACACTGATTTGGGCTCGAACGAAAACGAGCTAAATTGAAACAACTTTTCTTCTAAACCAAGCCCTAGGAAGCAAAAAAAAACTATTGGAAACAGATATTATACTTGAAACGTTCTTAAGAGCTAGTGAATTTGGTAACAGCCTTGGTGCCTTCAGAGACGGCGTGCTTGGCCAATTCTCCGGGAAGGACCAACCTCACTGCGGTCTGGATCTCCCTGGAAGTAATGGTCGGCTTCTTATTGTACCGAGCCAATCGGGATGCCTCCTGAGCCATCTTCTCGAAGATGTCGTTGATGAAACTGTTCATGATTCCCATGGCCTTGCTGGAGATTCCGATGTCGGGATGGACCTGCTTCAGAACCTTGAAGATGTAGATCTTGTAAGTCTCAACGGACTTCTTCGTCCTCTTCTTCTTCTTGTCTCCGGCCGCCGCAGCTCCGGCGTCCTTCGGGAGCTTCTTCCCGGCCTTTGGCTTCTTCTCCGCCTCCGGCTTCTCGGTTGCAGGGGTCTTCTCCGCCGCCGGCTTCTTCTCGGCTTGCTTCTTCTCCGTCTTTGGCGCCATGGAATCTAGAGGAAGGGTCGAATTTCTACGGAGTAATTAAATTTAAGAGGCGAGGAGTATGAAATATGAATGGAGCTTGGGAATTGAAGAAACAGGTCGTCTGTTTATATATGAACAAGGAGTCGTCGCTCATTGGTTAGTTTAATTTGACGCGGATCCGTGTTTTAAGTCGTTGATCATTTGATCTGTGAACGGGTGAGATTAATGGGATTCGGATAGCGTTGAGGGGCGTACTTGTTAAAATTTTAAAAGTGGTTTTCCCCTCTCAATTCTTGTACACTTCACTTTTGGCGGTAAATGAAAATTTGAAAACTTTCGGGCTAGGAATTCAATGTAAAATTAACGGAGCCCAGTAGATACTTTCAACTGTAGAACGGGTTTCCTAGAAAGTGTAGATAGAATATAGATAAAGGCCACAATGCCACATTGAAAAAAATGTTTGGTATCTTAGGGATTTGAGAGGAGCTGATTTGTAATCTTTCTATTTTGCGATTTCGTTCAAAAACGTTAGACCAAACAACATGGATCAGTGCAATCACTTACCAAACAACTATTTCATCAAATCGTTATTATCTACTATCCTCCGTTCTCTTTTAATCGCAACATTGGACTTTTTTCACTATTCACATATTCTACTTTGACTATATTTTATTCATTAATGTATTATAAATTAATTTTTAAAAAAATATTATTAAATTCTTCTCATTCTAAATTTTCAAAATATGAATTTTTAAAATTTTTTACTAATAAGGAATGAAAGATATTAATGGTCAAACTTGTGTGTTGGCAAACGTGAAATGTTGACTGTTGCAATTAAAAGGGAACGGAGGAAGTATTTAAACATCATTTTTCATTGTTCCAAAAAAAGGTTGAATCGCCAACCCCAAGCGCCCCCACGCCCTGACCCGACAGGACTTTTTGGGAGGATGTAAGTCACGGTGACTCAGTCAGTAGAGTGGCAGTAGGCCCATACACCCGTGCGCACCAGAGGCTCAGTCTTATTTCAAGTTCTGTGACATCCATCCGGTCGCTGCGGGGATTCGAACCTTGGTCATTGTTCCAAATTTCCCACCACTCAACCAACTGAACTACCCGTGCGGGTTAAACATCATTTTTTCAAACACAATGAAATTCTAGAACCGATCAGTTAATTATTAGAATGTTTATAATTAGATTGTTTTCAGTCTCAACCAGATCTGATTAAATAGATCATATCAGATCAAATTTGGACAGTTGTGAAACACACATACAAAACATCTATCACATTTGTCCACTTTAGACCATACTAGATCAAACTTAAACAAACCAAATCAAAAAATTATAATCTAAAAAAACTTCCTTAGTGAATAGCCAATAATATCAGCAAATTGATATCAACTGATTTTGTTGGCCATTTCGATCAGTCGCTACAATTAGCGGATTAAAGTAAAATATTAAATAATTTAGTTGTTTACTTAAGACGTAAAATGATCTTTAAAATAGGAAAAAAATGTGACTGTGTGTATCTTTAACTTAACTTTTTTTATTTTATTTATTTGATAAGTTTTGAAACAAAGATTACATGTACTCTTATTTTATAGGTTTAAATATGTTTTTAGTCCCTGCAAATATAGGTCACTTTGTTTTAGGTTCTTGCAAAATATTTTCTTTATTTTTCATCCTTGAAATTTATGTTCATTTTCTTTTTAGTCCATGACTAATGATAACAACCTATATTTGACACCGAAACAATCCCGACTAATAGGTATCCTTAAATTCTTTGTCATACTATTCAAAAAGTATTTAATTGGAAAAATTGAGTAATAATCCCAACTATTGGCGGTCCGCTCATAATAATCTCAACTATTGATTATTACAGAATAATCCCAACTTTAGGGACCTTCCGCCAATAATGGTCCCTATGAATAAATTCTTGTAGTTTCTAAAGTGGATGAGATGAGATATAACAAGTAATCCCTATAAATAATCTCAACTTTTAATTTTTACGCTTAATTTCTATTTAAAACTCACTTTTTATAGAGGTAATATATGGTCATGGACCATTATTGGCGGATAGTCTATATAGTTGGGATTATACAAAAATAATCAATAGTTGGGATTATTTTCAGCGGACCAGCAATAGTTGGGATTATTATTTTCAATTTTTCCTATTTAATTTCATTTTTAAAGGATTTTTTATTAATATTTTTTTAAAATGTGAATAATTAGTTTTAATATTGTTTTAGCTCTCTTATTAACCTCAAAAAAATTATAAACTGATAAATTTAAATGCTTCTAGTTGATTTATGCAACCGACAATAAAAAAACTCTAAGTAGAGTTGTTTCGGCGTTAGAGATGGACTAAAACCAAAATAGTGCATATTACAGGGATGGAAAACAAAGAAAATATTTTGCAGGGACCTAAAACAATGTGGCCTATATTTGCAGGTACTAAAACCATATTTAAACCTATTTTATACAAAGTACAAATTCTGCTCCGCACTATTGTTAACTTTAATATATACACGTGTGCACGCACGCAATGACGCAAATATACATTGTTTCTTTGTCTCAATGTTTTAAATATAATTAGGGATGGCAATTAGGGGGAGTTCATTCCCCCGTCTCCGTCCCATGTCTAAAAAATCTACCCACTCACGCGCCATCTCAGCTATTATTTTCCCCGACCCAGCCTACTAGACGCGGAGTTCTCAACAGGGGAATATTTGTCATCACAGAATTTAGAATAAATAAGTTTGAAAATCAACTACCATATAGTTACTTGCAAACAAAACAAACGTAACTTTTTTCTAACCACACTTTATACGGTAATGTATGTTATAGGACTAGCACATATACAAAACAAATTCAATTGATAATTCAAGACTTCAAAAAACAATATAAACTTAATCACTATGGACAAAGTCACAAAGATGATTATAGTCTTGATGATTTTTCAACAAAGGGTTCAAAAAACTCATTAGCCCTTTCAATTCACAAGTTATGAAACTAAAAAATAGACCCATCACCACTATTTTCATTATTATTGTTATATTATTATTATATTATTATATTATTATTAGTATTATTATTTTGACCATTTTTGTTGCTATTAATATTATGATTCTTGTTGTTGTAACAGTTGTTTTATTTTATTATTAGGGAAAAGTACAGATAAGCTACCTGTGGTTAAGGTCATTTACAAAGAGGGTCATGAGTTTCATTTTTTCCCAAACACATATTCGTGCTTTCCTTCCGTTAGCACCACGGGGGTCTCAGCCCATTGGCTGTTAAAAATTAATAACGTGGACCATTATTCCGTCCAAATGGAGGCCGCGTGGCTGTAACATGGCCAGGTTATTAATTTTTTTTGAATTAGATACAGTAAAGGAGTCTTTTAATTTCCTTGGAGAGCAGGAGCATTAGTAAGACGAAGACTTTGTTTAAGGTGCAAAGGAGGCGTACGAATGAGCTCTTCCAAATCCAACTCCACTGCAAACACCCGGCGGATTGATGTACGAAGTGAATGGATTAAGAGGTGCGACTGCGGTATCCAAGCGCCAATTTGGACTGCAACTACGGAGAAGAACAAAGGGAGAAAATTCCATGGTTGTGGTAGATACATGGTGGTAGGTGTTGAGAAATGCAATTTCTTTGAATGGGTTGATGAAAACGCATGTGGAGTGTCATTTGAAACCATGGAATCTGTGTTTGACAAGATTTCAAGCGTCGAGGAAGCTATGAAGGTTAAGCAGGTGGAATTGCAGACTGTAATGAACTCTTGCTTGCGTGGGATCAATGATTTGAAGAAACAAAATGGAGAAATCATAGTTGCAATGGCTTAGAATGAGAACTCCAGTTTGAAGATGAAGATGTTGTGGTTGATGTCGTTTGTTGTTTTAATTATGGCGATGAAGTTATTGCAGGATTTGTAGGTTGATAGGTGTTTGATGTAATGATTGAATGAGTATTAAGTGTTTTGTTATTGTTTTGTTGTATGAACATTGTTTCAATTACTGTAAGTTGTTATGAGTAAGGATTTGGTGTTGTTTATGGAGTGAGGTGAAATAAGCAAGTGTGAAGACTATCAGTAAAACAAGTGTGTTTAATTGTGACCTTGGATACGAACTGCTAAGCAAACACACTTGTTAAAACAACCCAAACAATCTAAAGAGGTTGTACATGCACATAAGAAAGTGTGAAGCTTTATATGAGTGCCCAAAACACCATAACCTTAACCAAAAGTGTTCTGGTGACTAGCCAAAAACAACTCACACCTGATCTACATTAACATAACCATACATTAAGCAATACATAAGTTCAATAACAACCAAACCCATAAGCTCACATGTCAGATGCACTTAACAAATAGTTTTCATTCGTAGGCAAAAAGAGGCCAAAGGGCATGTACATTTACATAAGCAAATGTTACCATAAGTAGGCAAAAAGAGCCCAGAGGGCAACTACATTTACATAACCAAACTGTTTACATGACTAGGCAAAATAAACCCAAAGGGATTCTACAATTGCAGAGTTTTCATCCATTCTAAGCAAAAATAACCCAAATGGGTTGTACAATTACAGAGTTTCCATCAATTCTAAGCAAAAATAACCCAAATGGCTTCTACATTTACATATCCGCTGCCACCTCACACTTCTTCTCCACCTTCCTTAAATGTTTCCAGAATTACCAATCTGCAAGCACAGTCAACATATTACTTAAAAATGTGTTCACTAATACACACTATGTAATGGAATGTATTTCATTGGAATTAATCTATCCCTTTAATTTACCATAGATGATTGTGAACTGCTACTCCTAGTAACTCTTCTGCATGTTGGTTGAGGCTGTGAGCTACTTCTTCCTCTCTTCTTGGTTGCTTTTCTGCTTGCAGCTTGTTGGCTACTAGAGGGTGCATGCTCCTGTATCTCCCCTTCCCTTTCAGCTTGCCTGTGCTTTGCCTTAGCTAACCTATTTCTTCTCTGCCATGGTGTTTCCCCTGTAATTGAAGTTTTGCAGCCTCTAACATTGTGCCCAACTTGATTACAGTTTCCACAAACCACTTGTTTCCCAACCCTAAAGACCTTGAATGGATTCCGGG